TAATTTACAGCGGAGAGATAAGGCTGGAGGATGCAATGAAAAAAAAATCTGAAGTCATCCTCTCCCCCCCTGTACTGCGCTGCACCTTGGGCAGCGGAGCAGAATCCAGAATCTCAACTTCTCCCGACATATGTTTCCAGCAGATAAGTAAACAATCTGGACGTGAAATGAAAATTTTAATTAATGCAGTAATGCTATTACACCTCAAGTGTGCAAATCCCATTGCCTTGCACTGTGACAATGGGTGGGGAGGAGGAAAGAAAGCAGACAGACAACAAACCACAAGCAAATTCTAATCTGGGTTTTGCTTTTCACTCGGCTCCAATTGTTTTCATAGTTTGTTTCCTTTGAATTAATCTCATCCTTATATTTCAATAATTACCAGCTACTCATCTCTTCCCCTCTTTCTCTCACACACTCAAAGAGCTGGCTCCCTCTCCCTCGCTCTCCTTTTTAAATTGGGATCAACCTGTATTTAATTTCTGGGCTTTTAGGCGTACACACGTTGGCTTGTTGCAGTGTGGACCTGCACAGACCCTGCACGTTATTTCTTGTTTAGCTTTCCAAACGCGGCGCGTTCAGTAATAATGAAGTATTTTGCCCTAATAAAAAGGGAAGGAAAAAAAATAATAATAGAGGCTGGGTTGTCCCTTTGATGTTGGTATAAAACACCCCAACTGGAACAGAGGTGTGGGAAGGGAGAAAAGAGAGACGGGGAGGCAAAACTAAGGACCGAAGGGGAAAAAAAAAGGGGGAGGGGGGGGTGAATTACAGACACATCAAAAGCCCCGGCAGTGGCAGAGGCTGCCTTGCTCCGGAGTGCGGAGCAGCGCGGAAAACACAGCCCGCTTTTCCTCCTGCGGTGCCGGGGTCCCTCCAGCCCTCCCCGGCCTGCAGCCTGCCCGAGCGGGGAAAGGGAGCAGCAGCGGGCTGGGCTGGATTTGGCTCAATATTTTAATTTTTAAGCCTTCTTAATGATTTTTAAATTTTTTTTTGAAGGGAGGCAGTGAGCACGCTCCGGCTGGAGGGACCCTCCTGCCTGCTCGCTGCCCGCGGGCAGCGCGGGATGTGTTCCCACCTGCCCGCCCCCACCCTCGCCCCCGCCGGCCCGTCGGAAGCCGGAGCAGCGGCGGAGCACGGCACCGGCGCGGCCGGAGCCCCACGCGTGCCCCGCGTGGGTCCCCGGCCCGGTCCGGCCGGTCGGGGCTGCTGGGAGCGGGGGAGGAGGAGGAGGAGGAGGATGTGTTTCTGATCACCGCTTACTTTTAAACACTACAATCAAGGAATGTAGCCAGGAGGTCGGGCCTGGAATAAAACCGTAAAATCAGAATTGCAATCTTTTTGATGTTTCAAAGTCTCTTTGAATGCCTTTGATACACTCAATAGCAAATTTACTGGGCTATTATCACTAATAAGCAGAAATAAGTAATATCTCTCAGAGACTTCTATGGGCTTAATGTGTCCTTTAAAATAAAGTTTTTTAACATCACATAATTCCCCTTCTGTCTTTGTCCTCTCCAGCAGCAGAGCTCCCTGGCGATCGCACGGCTACACCTGGGCACCAGCTCGGGTCTCCCCGTTCCCTCTGCCCCCAGACTTCTTTCCTCTTTCTCTCTGATTTCTTGTTTTGTTTAAAGGAAGGCCGGGCTGGATGCTTTTAAGTGTCTAGGTGGTCCTGCAGGCACCAAAACAGAACCATTGTCTGAGAGAAGGTGGGAAGAGAGGCGAGAGGAGAGAGGAGAGGAGAGGAGAGAGGAGAGAGGAGAAAGGAGAGGAGAGGAGA